TCCAACAACAAACTGACCACTTATCGCAGGAAGTTAAATTTACTTTATTATAATATTAATTATGGGATATTTAAAATAGCTAAGTAACTATTTTATAAAAAACAAACACATAATAAGTCATTTCCGAGCTAAGCACGTAATTGTAATACTTAAATAGTAGAAAAAGCGATCAAATAGATGCATGTCTCTCCCATCGATTTATAGTTCCACTTTTCCACAGTGAGCATATTTCTAAAAAAAAGCAACAATTGCTTAAAATGCTGAGCTTCTGTAAAATAAAATTTTCTCTTTGTACCAAGAAATGTGAAATGGAGCAGTTTTGAAAATCTTTGTATTTCTATTTGCATCCTCATCCTGCCAAGAAATTTATAAACATCAAGTGACTAACTGGTAGGGTTACCGCGAAACTGCGCGCCGTTGGGTTGTAATCAGGTTTTTTTCTTCCACTTTTCAGCTTCTCCTAAATGGAATAATCCATGCTTTCCCATTTTTTTTCTAAAAGCAGCGTAGCCTATAGCTTACAGCGGGCCACTAGTGCTAATTTTAATATAGAAAAACTAAATAGAGATTTTGTTATTTCATTTCTCTGTCTCTTTTTCGTTTTCTGGGTCCAGCGCTCAATCTCATACCCCTGTATTAGATACTCAATATTATCTATCCACCTGTATGTTGCTACCTCTGGTGGCTTTAAGATTAATATATTAAATATCAGTATTATTAATTACACGCTAATCAACCTTTAGTGAGTGCATTTTAAGATTTACAATAAAAAGTTCAAGGCTCTCCCGTAAGCTCCATTTGGTTCATGAAGAATATTTCAAAGCTTAACTAATTGACAATTCGGATACCCTTCTTGCACTTGTAAACTTTTTGCATTCCGAAATAGAAGAAAAGAAGAATTTATTAAGCTAATTAACAGCCGGAATCTGGCCACTTTTTCGTTAGTTAGAACTTTGATGGTTGAGCATCGTTTGCTTTACAAAATTCAGCAAATTTTAATCGCTTGAAAAAGCAAGGTTTCGAGTGAACTTGATTTGTTGAAAACTACGTCCTGTTCTGTAGAGATACCTACCTAAGACAAATAACTTCGATGGCCAAAGGCCTGGCCATAGCCACAGCTGATTTTATGCGTCGTCACAATTTTTATGGAAAATATTTTGGCTTGAAGCCAGCTATGGTATAATGGCTTAAATATTTTCTTATCTTAATTTAGGCGCAATCAACTTAAACTCCCACTTTGCTTTTCATTTAATTAATGAAAAGAATATGAAAAGATTTGTATGCACACCTCAGACCTTTCGTGCAGCCATTCTTCTCTATTGGGTAGCAAGGCCCCGAAGAAAATGAATGGAATTTGCCAATGAATTTTGCATGGTCGCCTATTACTATATCGCTTTCTACTGATTTCGGTTCGATTGAAAAAAAAAAAAAATTTCATAAAAATTTGAAACACTTGGTATTGAGGCGAGTCTACTAGTCTGTTCAGTTACAGGTTTTACACATGAAAATTTATTATTTACATACTCAATTTTGGCTAATCAATTTTCGGCTTTTAATTGCTTAATTATGATTTCATATTGCCTTAAAATGGCACTGAGAGACTTTTGGTCGTATATTTCAGGGAAATGCGTGTGTATGTGAATGTGAATACTGAATTTTTGAATAAAATACATAGTACATTGCATGTGAATATAGATGTATGCACACCTATATAAGAAAACCCCTTCGTAAAAATTACCTTTGTATTATTTTCTTAGGTAATAAGAACTGGGAAACAGCACTCTTCGCTTATGTAAATGGTTCAGAAAGGATATTATATTAATATAACATCAAAGATATGGAAAATTTTACAATAAAAGCTGAAAGTAATGAAAAAGGAACAATTTACCATATAGTTTCACGCTTTTATGTAACTAACTAAATTAAGAGGATTTATTTTTGAAAATGAATAAGAAATAAAATAATGTATTAGCAATGTGTGTAAAACTCTCTCCCATATAAGACAAAACGTGATTTGAAAATGACTTGTACTCTGTGGCTTGGATACAAAAACAAATTTGCTGAAGAAAAAATCTTTTAGATTTTTTATTAAAAAGTGTAATAAGCAGAAAGGATACCTATATTTGTCAAAAATGGACAGCAGCAAAAAGTAAATACGCTATTCAGTAATTATTCTTTAAAATCACGCAACTGATTGTGTGAATAAAGTTTAAGGTCCTGCTACTGCAACAAGCAATTATGCAAAATTTTCGTCAAGAACATTCCATTCACTTAGATGTTTAAGACGCTCCATAGCGTGGAAAAGCAGAATTGATAGGATTTCTCATCTTCATACAAAGAGTTTTTAATGTAGCGAGTGCAACAAAATAATAAATAATAATGAATATGTACGTAATCAATATCTGGCTTTATATTACTTCCCGGAGGAAAATTATATGACGATTTCCAAAACCAACTTACGCTGTGTAAGTAATGTAAATAATTTCCAAAAATTTCGAACATTAATATTGTCTACATAGAACCACAGTCATTCGACCACAACTGGTGCGCAAATTGTAACAATGCCGTTGTTGCGGCAGCACAGCACACACAAGCGACCAAGCATAGCCAATTAAAATCAGTCATTTATATAGTTTTCAATTTGCACGCTAACACTCCTGCGTATACAATTAAATATTTGTATGTATAAACAGGCAGAGAAGTTCCAAGCGGGGCATAAACAGGTATTTCCACCAGCAATTAGGCATATTAAAATGAATTTAAATGTTAGGGGGGGCCCTTAATGACAAAACAAAAAAAATCGGCCTTTTAAAGATATTTAGCTTTTTTATTTAACTATTAATTTAACTATTAATATGTGGACAAGATTTGATGGAAATTTGAATGAAGAATAGTATAAATTGGGGCGTGGGCATTGTCGTGAAGTAGACTGTCCACAAGAAAATGCTTTTGCGGTAGCCATGATAACTTTTTCAATTTTCATCTGAAATAAAAAACCCGAATTTTTTCTTAAAGTAGTGGTCTTCAATTGTCCCTGAACAAAAAAACTTAAAAAATTTAAAAATTTAGGCCACGTAAAATAAGTTGAAATCACAGATAAAATAAGTCCTTCGTTGAAGGACTACAAAAACATGCTTAAAAGATGTGTGGAAAATTTGAATTTATTTGATCGCTTCAACAGTCATTGAGAAACTTTGACTACCAGTTTCGATAGAGAGCTTTTAAGAAAAACGCTTTTAAAGTTTCGCCATCAGTCAGTCTTTTTTTTTAGTAATTATTAAAATGCTTTTGATGTAATATTAATATAATATCCTTTCTGAAGCATTTACATACGCGAAGAGTGCTGTTCTTATTACCTAAGAAAATAATACAAAGATAATTTTTACGAAGGGGTTTTCTTATATAGATATGCATACATCTATACACACATGCAATATACTATTTATTTTATTCAAAAATTCAGTATTCACATTCACATACATACGCATTTCCCTGAAGTACACGATCCAAAGTCCCTCAGTGACATTTGAAGGCAATATGAAATAATAATTGAGCAATTGAAAGCCGGAAATTGATTAGCCCAAATTGAGTATTTAAATAATTAATTTTCATATCTAGAGACGGTAATTAAACAGCGAACTCAGCTCGCTTCATTTCCAAATTTTTCATATTTTAATGAGACTTTTTTCTTCAATAGAACCGAAATCAATAGAAAGCGATATTCTTATAGTGGCTCTTTCAAAATGAATGAGGGTATATTATTTTCATTTGTTTTCGGGGCGTTTCTCTCCAATTCGATTATCACAGACATTTTAGCCAATCATTAGATGATTTTTTTTATTAAACAAAGTTTCTTTTTTCTAATGGAAGGCAAAAAACTAGTAAAAAGCCTGTTGCAACTGTTCGTCATTTGTAGCGCCTGGTAGAGGTAAAATTTATTTCAAGATACAATAGTCGTCTTTTAGGACCACGACCATTTTTTTGTTATTTTCTTTAGTTCTTTGAACTGCGTAGCTTCTTTTTGTCTGCTTACGCAAGTGTCTTTCCTACTGCATTTGAGTAATACCTTGCCGTTCACAGCTCGAATGAAATGTAAAGGGTGATTTTAAAGCTATTATTTTTTCGCTAACGCTTGCTAGCTATTTAATTTTATTATAAAAATGCGTGCTCTGTTAAGAAAATTCATCGCGCGCTTCTTTCATTTCCTCGTTAAGCCCATTTTCGATTAAAGGGGTGCATAAATAAGCAGGATTGTCGATTTTGGAGTGAAGATCAGCCAGAAGCATTGCAAGAGCAACCAATGCATCCAGAAAAAGTCACAGTTTGGTGCGGCTTATAGGCTGGTGGCATCATTGGACTGTACTTCTTCAAAGATGATGCGAATCGTAACGTAACTGTGAATGGTGAGCGCTACCGTGAGATGATATCAAACAATTTTTTGCCCAAAATGCAAAAGCTTGGCTTGCATGACATATAGCTTCAACAAGATGGTGCCACATGCCACACAGCATGCGAAGTAATGGACTTATTTGAGAGGCGAGTTCGTTGAACATTTTAATTCATGTTCGGGAAAAGTCAATTGGCCGCCTAGATCGTGCGTGCCTATGTCAGACAAGTCCGCTTCAACAGACGCAATATATTTAGAGCAATATTAAAGCATTAATTCATGAGATACCGGCCGAAATTTTGGAAAGAGTGTGCCGAAATTGGACTAATCGAATGTACGATTTGAGGCACAGTCACGGTCAACATTTGCATAAAATAATCTTCAAACATTAAATTATATGGACGATTCAAGTAAAAATTTCACGAATTTTTTGATTTTTTTTGTTTTTTTTGGAACACTTTCCTATAGTTTTTAAAAGATCGCCCTTTACATAAAGGTAAAATTTAAACTTTTGCCTTAATGACTTTCTCCTTCTACTTCAGAATGAAGCAAATCATGCACTTATTGCGTTGGATCTAGCTAAATTGAAATTTTTATAATTGCTCTTGCTTACCGTGTCTATAATGAGTTTACCGGTTCCTCAGAATTTTGATTAATCATAAAAAAAACTCTTCGTTGTACGAAATTCGGCTTTGCTGCTTAAACGTATCATTGGTAGCCTCGCCATTATCGATTTGGGCGAAGGAGACTTGTCTGCAGTACACTCAAGTTTCACTGTTTGTCAATTTAAGTATAAATTTAGTCACGAAAGCTATGAGTAGCTGAAGCCAAGAAAATTTAAATTAAAAAAAAAAAAAAAAATCATTATCTTGACACAAATACGCCAAGTCACGTCTACACAACTTCGTGTTATCCTTGTTTGCAGACGTAAATGCTTCAAAGTTTTTTCTTGTATTTATAGGTTTTGTTTTTTTAATGAGAAAACTTCCTCGTGTGAATATATATATGTGTATGTTTATTTTTATACTTGGCATATTTAGTTGAATAAATTAAATTTCCGCGTAAAACTCGTAGATTTTCCGTTAAATTTCCTTTGCTTCAGCACACTGGGTGTACAATTTAACTTTGTATGTTTGTGTGAGTGTGTCAATTACTTGTTTCTTTAACCATTTTACGTCAAACTCTTGAACTGTGTTGCATTCGCTTTCACTTTCACTTTTCCGCTCGGCAATACCGACAGCGACTGCATTCGCTTAGCTACTGTTTTTGTTATGCAAAGTTGAATAAAATTTATACTCAAACAAAGAGCAACACGAGCGATGAGTCGACTTGTAAAAGCAACGACTGTTTTTCCATTTCGCCAAAAACATATTAAGAGGCTTAAGATTGTGGACAGAAGAGCAACTAGTTTTGGTGTGCCTCGACATACACTTGCCTGTTGCCAAACTGCATATGCTGGCGACGAGCAATATTTAATGGTTGCACTCGTGCTCTCTTCGATTAACACGCTCTCTATCTCTCTCCTTTTCTGTAAATTATTAATATACGCAAGCGTGCTCACACCCACGACGAGAAAATTACTTTGGCTCATAAAGTCAGTCGGTAGCACAGTTCGCAGGCGTTCGGGTCTGTTTGTAGACTTCTACACTGAAATCAGCTGTGTAGCTACTAAAAAAAATTAGTTATTTTTTCTCTTTGCTCATACTGCTGTTAAATATGTATGTATGTCTGCACAATACCACACCTTACCGCTTTTTTTTCGTCACACATTCAACCAGTTCGCCAGTCAGTCAGTCTGCCAGTCAGCCAGTTTGTTCACCGCTGTTACTGACTTTTATGCATATGAATCAGTGCCAATATGTCAACACGTTCAAGAATATGTTGACATCCTCCTAAGTACTGAGGCAGTCATTGAATTAGTCCTTTCACATGGCCACTCACAACACTAAGAGTCACATGCATTGAACAGCGGCATCGCACACTCATGCCAACAAGTGAGAGTTGCTTTATTATAAAGTCTTTTCCAGTAGAAAGATGTCATGATTTCTAAGTATCGGTTTGGCTATTTGTAATATGTCGTGATCTGTAATTTTTTTTTTGGAATTTGTAGTGCGTAATAGAAGAATGGAATTGCGATAGACAGAAGAACGATTACAGATTAGCAAAGAGCGAGCTTAAGATGTTTTTCAGCAATATATGAATATGAGAAAAACGACAGCGAGTCTCGTTGGTATTTCAATGCTTTGACGGTGGCTCAAAGTTTGGTTGCATCTGAGCGTAGGCAGCAGGACGTGAAATATTATTCCCGTTTGGTAGCTTTAAAATATTGAATCAGTTGGCAAACATGAGGTAGTTAGTGCGGATCGTGCTTTTGATAACTATTTCCTTACATTTCAAGGAAATAGAAATACAAATTTTATAAGAGGAATATTGCTGAACTAGTATAAAGCCGTTTAGACTAATAAGCTTCCGTTAAAAATATGAGTCTTAAGATTTGAGAAATGATGCGTGATGAACTACTAAATGCGACGAAGTAAGCCAGCTGCATTCTATTGTAGAGCACAACCAGCATGCTTACGCATAAGGTTGTATAAAAAATTCATAATTCAATGTATGAAAAAGTCCACATCGCTCTCTACACCTTTGCCTTAGGTCGCTAGCTTAAACCTTGCTACTTTCATTGACATTTTGATTTTCCAATTTGCTGCTGAATGACTTTGGAAGACGCTTTGTTCAGAAACATACATAATAAACACAAATGAATAGCACACTTTGCTCTGCTTTAGCGTTGAATGCAAGTTTTAGTGCATCTCTTGTAAACATACGAAAGCAAGTGTGCTATGCAGCAGTCACTTCTCCGTATTTTCTTTTGTTCCTAATTAAGTACTATGGACCTTACACTATATATTCTTTTCTAATTTTTTTACGTGCAAAATTTCGCTTATTCTCCTTTGCAATGTCTTTTTCACCAACTCATCAGCATCATTGTGCTGGACACGCCGTAATTCCTTAATAATTGTTTGTGCGAAGCTTTCGCTGCGCTTGCAAGATGTTGACAATGGAATGCAAATTTGAAAAACAGCATTTTCGAATTAGCAAAATTAGTGTGAAATTGCATGAATCCGTTGACAATTATTTTCTCTATCACCAAGCGAATACTCGTGGTTATTGGTCTCCTTTACACCAAATTCTAAATTCTGTTGCTTGGTTTATTTGTTAGCTTGTTAGATTATCAAAAGCAAATCACTTCTTCATTGTCTGACAGTTGAAAACCATTAGTAATTTCACAACCCTTAATGAGCTAAGTAGAGAGTGCACTTTACTTTTACTTTTTCTGCTTCTTAATCCAGTTGACTAAATGTTGCTCATACGACATGACGAGCTTTTTATTTTTATGCTGAGAAGGCTTAAAAGAAAATCATAAGATGAAGTTCTACGATTTCGATGTATTTCTTTGTCAATATTCGTTTGTATATACGTGTGTAGAATAGTAAATCTCACGCTTGTAGACGCTTTTTGAATATGAATTGAATGGAAAATAAAATTTTTAACCCAAAACCAACCTGAAATCAAAAAATCAGCGGGCCATTTTTTTTAAACGAAACATTTCATAATGGCACAGTCAATGGAGAACATAACAGTTATTGAGTTTTTTTAGTACCAGAATTGGAAATTTAATCAATTTATTTAAGGAAGCTTTTGGTGAACGCATTTGCTCGCGTTGGAGGCCTGTGTATTAACATCCAGGACGAGATATAGGTCAGGAACCGACCAAATACTGCTTTCTACTCCTTTTAGTATTCTTGGTTTTTCAAGTTAGCCTGCTTTTTTTATTTAACTTACGTTACACTCATCATTTTATTTCGAATTCCAGCATTATAAGTCGCACGAACTATTTGAAAGAAGTTTTGTGTAACACAATATCTTTGGACGTTTGCAAAGAAAGTTGAACAAGTTTCTATTAGACGATTAGAGACCTAGCTTCAAGAATATTTCAGTTATTGCTATTCATTTCATCCCAAAGGATCACCCAAGTGATTGCTATTTCTGCTTCACTCGAACCAAAGGTATTACAAACAAGTCTAAACACATTGTCTCACACCCAACCTTTCTTCGGCTAAAATACCCATCCCATAAAGTGCAGTCATGACTGTACTAGGAATTCCAAATCGATCAGTTATTCCGCATTCTTGTGCGAAATTTGTCTTAAGTTAATGTATACAATATGGCAGCACCGCAAATACGACTTGGAGAAACTTGCCGTAAAATGTTTTATGAATATTGCCCAGAACCTTTTTAAAAATCGTAATTCAGAAAACTATAAAGCACTTAAAAGGAACTTATTATAAAACTTTGTGCTGTATGCAGGTGCCAGACTCTCATTTCGATTTCTTTCCCTCAAGTTTGAGTGACAAACAAGACGAAAGGTGCCATCAGGACACGCCCTTAGTAGAAAAGAGCTATCTAAAGAAATAAAGATCAACAATTCAAGCAGATTGTCGCTTGTCAGAAGAGATCTACCATCAGCTCGCAACGTCTATAATTTTGCTTTTTTTCTGAAAATATTTATTTTGGTGTCAAAATAAAACCTGATCTGTATGCACTTTTTCATTGATACATTATTACTTGATGGGTTAAATATATTCGATATTTGATACGTAGTTTAATCCCACAGAAAAAGTTGAATTTTTTTTTGTGTTATTTCAGCCGCCTGCGAGCAAATAATTAATTTATGAGCAAATTTTCATTACATGCCATATATATGAGGGGATTAAGTTGACCAGAAAAACAAATATGTTTTTGTAAATATTCGTAAATTTTGTCTTGCTTTATCTTCTCTACATAATCGCCATTGATTTCAATGCATTCCTTATGCCTATAAATCCACTTCTCGAAATAGTCTTCCAAGTCCTGCTTTTAAATCTCATCAAGTTCTGCATTAACCGCATTAATTTTCTCCTATTTAATCCTCCTTTTAATTTATTTTTAACTTTTGGAAAATTCTTCGAGTCCAGATATCGCAATAAAATTACTCGTACACCGAAGAGTACTCACCAAAAGCTCTCAGAAATTTTTCAACAAGTTTTCCAACAAATTTCTGAAAGCTTTTGGTGAGTACTCTTCGGCTTTACTAAACTTGCTAGATTTTTTAGGAAAAATTAAGCAAAATGCACTCCAGTCTCTTTTTCTCCTCATTTAAAATTCGTGGTACCCAACGAGCAGGTTGATTCGTGTAACCCAGATCATTGCTTGCGATATAGGCATGACATTCAAGCCAACCTAATTACCAGTGTATAAGTCATGGGTCTGGAGAGGTCCGGAGCTATAGTGGCCTCATCAGTGGAAGATTTTGGTCGACCTCCTCCGTGCTCGTCCTCTACGGAAATTCGGAAATTCGGCGTAATGACTCCTGCGGATGCTCTTCCATGTCTCTGAGCTCGTTTTGTGCATTTGCCGTATGAGTGTTGCCCACACAAAAATTGCTCTGTTGAAAAAATTCCTAAACTTCCAATGCCATCTTTGCTTATGTTAGACGTTTGATTAATTGATTTATCTGAGTTACATTAATCATTATATTTAACATTAATCTACGACATTGACGATTCCTAAAAAGTTGTTAATTAAAATTTGCAGCTCTAGACACTTGGCGACGGAGCTATGTCATTTCAATTAATAGCAAATTCATTTTATTTACCTACATCAGCACACTATATACTAAATGACAAATCATGATCATTGAAATTCCCAATCCGCAACTGAGATGGTGATGCCGTTCGTATCGATTACCTCCGAGGTGATTAGCGCCCAAACTTGTAGGAAACAAAAAAAAAAAAAATAAAATAAAATAAAAAATAAAAAAATAAATAAATTTCAAATAACATTTCTTTGTGTCCCTCTAGTGCCAATTCTAATTTTCTTTCTCTTTCTTGTAAATGACAGTCGCAGCTGTTCACATCATGTGTTTCGTCATTTTGCCGTTGGTCTTGCTGCTGATAAGCCCAAGAGATTGCTCATGCACTCGCTCAAAGCAGCGCTAGCCTACGATTATTCACCGATGATGCAAGTGACAGCTGACAGCTAAGCCGCGGCCGCTGTGCGGAGTGCGGGTGTAACTTTTAGCTTGCGGCGTGTTCTTTTGGGCTCTTAATGTTGTGGCCGTTTCGCCTGAAGCTCAAACTCTTTGATTACTAATGCCAAATTAATTAGGAAAATTTTGTCTTCGCTTAGCAATGGCGACA